GATCACTCACAACTCTATTCTCTCCTCTTTAGCATTCATCGATCCTTGCGCCAATTCTATCTCCTCTGCATGCGTACCTCGTTTCGTTGATTCGCGTGATTTCTCTAGGGTTTGTTGTACCACTGGAAAAAAAAAAATCCATCCTTTGAGAGAAATTTGCTTTACATTCTCTGAAATTCCATATTTTGGGAAATGGGTTTTTGTAGAGCTTTGAGATATCGAGTGGTTTTCGACTGTTTCAGATTGATCGAAATCTTCAGAGGCCACTGTAGTTTGAGGATTGGGTAGTGTATGAAACCTGTTTCTGATAATTAGAGATCTTACTCTGTTGTCTCTAGATGCTGTCTTCTAGGTTTATTGACTTCTCTGCAAAAAGAGTTTTGGTGATTTTACGTTTGCTTTAATGGAAGTTTCTTGCTTGTCACTTAAACTGCTGAGTTAAAACGTTGTGATTCTTTTGCCTCGCAGTTCGTAATGGAATTAGCTCGAGCTGAATCTGGAAACATGCCAAAACGTTATACATTGGATATGTCTCAAGATTTTGTCCCCATGGCTGTTTTCGGTGAGGCTTCAGAGGGTAAGTAAGATTCTCCTGTCCCTCTTTTTCCCATTGTTTCGGGTCGATTTCAGCGGTTTTAGTTCTGCGTGTGCCCAACTCAATTACAACTGTTGGTTCTTATACGGAATGAATCTTTGAGGTGACACAAGTTAGAATTTGACTTTGTTGAATAATGTCATTTTCATATCTCTGCTTCTGTTGTTGTAACATTTATCACAGTTTGGTGAAGATTATGTAGCATTGGTCTGTTTATTTACAGTCATTTTGTCTGGTAACTCTACTGATTTTCTTCAACGATGTTGTTTGAGGTGTTAGGGAAGATGTCAGCAGAAGGGAAGATAAAAAACAAATTTGACATGAGGCCTCATAGCGAGAACATCGAGAGCTATGGAAAACTTTGCCGTGAAAGAACAAGCAAGTATATGTGCAGAAATAGACAGATCCAGGTTCTTATAAAGACGGTTAAATCAAATGTCGTAAACAAGCCTCCTCGGGTGTTTTTCCCATATGATGATGTTTCTTTTTTCTTGTTTCTTGATCAGGTCATTGATAATGCCAATGGAATGCATATGAGGCCAATGCCAGGAATGATTATCCCCACCGCGGCTCCTGTATCTATATCTCTACCACTCAAAACACACATGACATACTGTTGGTTAAGGATGTTGAAATTTTTACAACTCATTGTTTTGTTGTTAGCAGGAAAAGAAGAAAGTGGCAAACAAGACATTGGATATGAAGAGAACGAGGAGAGACCGGAGAGAGATGGAGGAAGTCATGTTTAATCTCTTTGAAAGACAATCGAATTGGACTCTGAGGCAACTCATTCAAGAAACTGACCAACCAGAGGTAAGCAAAAGGAAACTTTTGTGTTATAGTGCTTGACTGAGATTATTTGAAAAGATAAATGAGAAAACAAAATACCAAAAATGAGATTTTGTTTGGTGCAGCAATTTCTGAAAGACTTGCTTAGAGATCTTTGCATTTACAACAACAAAGGAAGCAATCAGGGAACTTATGAGCTAAAGCCCGAGTACAAGAAAACCCCACAGGAATAGGAA